CCTCTTTTGACCACATATGTTTACCAAAAGTAGAAATTGGTTTAGCTATTCAGAAAAATATAGGTATGAAAATGTTAAAGTTTCATTTGATGAACATGATCTTGCGGTTCTGCAGAACTCCCCCCCCCCCCCATTTAATAGTACATGCATTACAGAATATTTGAACCCCGATTTTAGTTCCATTGTAGGGTCCGTTATTTGCACAAAATATTAATCCACCTTACTTGAAGGAATGTTTGCAAATTTAAATGAATTAATGTGGTGCTGCTACTATTGAATTTTTTTTAAATTTCCTATTTTTTTTTGTGAAAAAAAGCCTTGTCTCTTGTTGGTGCCCCATTCTACCCCCACATGTCTTGAACAAATGTAAATCTGTACTACTTAGGGATGCTTGCACATTTATATGACTAATCATAATGTAGCATTTTGTTCCCAACGTTTCTCTGATCCCCTATATGGCCCCACCGTACCCCACAAGGGGCTATTTTTGAAATACTTAAGTTTGTACTGACTAAATAAATGATGTTTACATATTCATAATACTAATTACTGCCTTGCTGTTCTTGTGAAAACTTTGATAAAAAGATATTTTTGCTATATATTCGATTGTACATGTAGAACTTGATTCACTATGTTGCCACACCTGACCCCGGGGACCATGATTTGAACAAATTGGTACTACTTGAGGATGCTTGTTTATTAGCATGACTAATCATGGCCATTTACAAGAAGATTTTCACTAAGCAAAGCTTTGATCTCGCATTTTGGCCACACCCTACCGGGCCCCGTGGGCCATGATAGAATCAAACTTGAATCTGCACTACGTGAAAATGCTTTCTTGTGATGATCACTAATTATTGCTTAATTTACTGGTCTCCTTCGGGGAGGTTTTCCTCTATATATTCCATAGTTAAAGATATGTTTGAAATCTAAAAGGAGCACCTTACACCAACAAAAGAAAAAGATAAATTCTCAGCAATGTGTTTGCCTTGTCTGTTTGCTGTTTAACGTCCCTTCGAGAATTTTTCACTTATATTTATGGCATTTTATCTTGTTGATTGTTTGGGTGCTGGGAAAGGAAATTAGCTTAAATACAGCATAAACAACACACATGTGCAAAAATATCCGAAATACCAAAGAAATTGTTGGAGTTTAGAAGGATCTTCCTGAGAAAATGTGGCTATAGTAGTCTTCAAAAGTAAAGTTGCTGCTTTTATCTTGATTTTTTTATTCATCGCCAGAGCAAATAACTGTAGAATTTGACATTTGAAAGAATATTATTATACGGTAACTGGGAGGGTGGGGTGGGGCTTAAAACTTTAATTTGAATCTGAGTACTTGTCATCAATAAGATAAAATGGAATTAAGGTGACATGAAACAATTTTTAATTAAAAAAGATCATGATTGTAGCTTTTGACGTCTTCAAAAACCCGATCCTCTAATCAGATAGAAATATTAGCACAATTTAATGTACATAAAACAGTCTTGAAGACAAATATTCATCATGCTGCAAAGGAACTTCTATTCCTAGGCAAATATATCGGTGGCATTCCTTTCTTTCATTCGCAGATATTTCTTGCCGTTAGCCGTATCTACATTCGCATAAATGGATTTCAAAACAAAGAATCGCAAATAAAAATTGTAGCAAATAATATATAGCTGGTTTTCAGTATGTCTTAGCTGCAAGCATTTAGAGGTACAATGTCTAGAAAAACGATCTGTCCTGAATTATCTGGTCCCCTCTTTTTTCTGAATGTAAAACCTGTCATTTTGAGAATTGTTTAAAATTGTTTACACATATTATTATGTTTATTAGTTTACCTTATTTTTAATACCTTATGATTATGTACAAGATATTAAAGATACAGATACGTATGTTTTATTTACGTTAAATTTCATTTGCGAAACCCTCCTTCAAATAACTTTCGAGGAGTGATTTTCTGGAGGAAAAAAAATGTTTAGGATCTCTCAAGAAATAAATGTTGATATCCATTCTTATTTCTTTTCATTGATTTATAATCCGAAAAAAGAGAAAAAAAAATGTGTAAAGGATAAAAGAGATTGATTGATTGATGTTTAATGTCCCATTCGAGAATTTTCTTAAGGAGGTTGGATCCTGCCATCAAAAGAAATGAGAATTTTTTATCAAGTATATTTTAGAATCTTCACACATAGCTTATTATCACAAATCAAAACGAAAAATGGGGTTCAATGCATTTCTTTTGGCGCTATGGAGCACTAAGTATGACCTTTTTGAATTGTAATTACGTCTAACACATAAATTAATCTTTAAAGTTTTTCCTCCAATATTTTTCTACTCAAATAATATATGGGAACAAACACAATCTTACTTCATCTTGAATAGACACATTAAAATTTGTGACAACAAAAAAGTTTCAAATTTCTTCGCATGGTCAATTATTTGACCTTTCTGCACTCAAAAGAAGTCATTTTTCTTGCATTAAAAATTTGACAAGCAAATAAATCATTTGAAAATAATGACATTTTACTGAATTTAAGAGGAATGGTTAAAAGTATCTAATATATTCAGAAAATAAAATTGAATGTGGGGGTCTGTGATGTTAATTGTTAGATATTACTAAAATAGTGCTAATTTTAAGCTTAAATTCGGGTTATTTTTTTTCTTGATTTTCACAATATATTTGCTATATTTGTTAAATATGATGATAGAATTCATAACAGTTTATCAAATATATAATTTAGGACCAGCACAAAAAATTTCACGGCACCAAAAAAAAAAAAAAAAAAAAAAAAAAAAAAAATCTTTGTGTGGATAGGGATCCAAACTTAACAATACTTTAAATACTTCGAAAGAGGAAAAAAATGATCATTTTCTTCTTAAAAACCTTCCGCCACAAAAAAAAATGTAGTTCCTCACTTAATGCTTTTGATATGGAATTTAATCATGGGATTTTAAATGAATATAGTTTCACTGGCACTGTAGAATCCAAATTTATTGTAAAAACTAAAACATTATGCAGAATTTTTGAAATATAGGTCAAGACAAAAATCTGCTCAAAAGCTCAGGAGCGAACCTTTTTAAGCAATGAGAATCTTTATCGTGCCATTGTCTATCGTGACACAGGGCTTCGGTTTAAGGTTTCATCCGTTTCTTTATTTAAAAGTGTGCATGGCACTTTGATGCACAAATGAAACAAATACCCCACACGATTCTTTAGTCATTCGGAGAAACCTAAAGATTTCTCATATATCATCCGATTACTGTATATAGCTACTACTTAATTATGTTTTTTTTATCTTTCCCGTATGAAAGTTTTGCAGGTGAACTCATTATAGGTACTTAAAGGGACAACTTTGTGTAATAAGTGCACTACCTTGGGCAATCTAGTAGTGTCTGACTTACATGTAGATTTATGCTTGTTGCATTTAGCTGACTACATGTATCTCATTAAATAGTTGATGACTTAATACAAAATCCTTTCACCCCATATTAATGTATAATACTTGTGTAGATACAATCTAAGATACAATCAAATACAATCTATCTTAAGTCGAATGCTGATTGACGTTTTTCATACAAATTTTTAGGCCATATTTTTCATACTGAATTATCTACGGATTTTTCCGTTTGTCTGATCATGACAAGAAACACACCGCGGTTGTGACCGATCGACAGGGGGCGCTTACTCCTCCATGGCTCCTGATCCCACCTTTGATGTTTTTAGATATCCGTGTTTACACTGTTCCCAATTTACATTGTTTCAATGGACTTTTGAGCCTTATTACTGTTTGTTATCTTCATATTTCATGTATAGTTTTTGTCTCTTATATTCGAAATAATTAGACCAATACATAAATGACAAAGCATAAAAATTGATTTACTTTAACAATATACATGTACTAATAACATAACATGGTGCAAAATAATAAAATGATATTCGGCTCAGGTGGCAATTTATTGTATAGATTAGAAGCATTATGAATGAAGTATCATTTAATGCAAAATCTCGCCGTCTGAAACTCCAATATACTAGCATTTTAACTATCGTTTAAAGCGATGTATGATTGAAAATTTTTCATATTTTTTTAACGATTAGAGCAGCATATTGTAAATTTTTACTTTCAAAATTTGCTATTCAGAAACCTCAAAGGTCCACGTAGGAGTGGTCTGACAAAAAAAATTTTACTTACTACTTTTTTGTGTGAACTAGAACTTGCTTTGTTTTGATGATACCATAATTTATTTGAAAAAAAAAATCAACAAGCAAACAAACACGGTTCTGGTCATTACCTGGATCTTAGAGATGCTGGTTTTATAAAAATGCCTTTAAATTAGTATTAGTTCATATGACTTTATCATTTCCACCTTTCCCCTATCATACTAGCTTGAGGTTTCAAATTTTACAAATTGTTTCCTATTCTGTATTTTGTAGAAAAGAAACACAAATACATTTCACAAAATATAAAATAATTTCATACATAATTTACGGATATTCATAAATTTTAGCTGAATAAGATCTCTCAGTTTTTAAGATTAAACTGTACTCTTCTTTCATTTGAAACTTGATATAAATTGTTACAGCTGTATAATTTCCAATTGAATGTTGATAGTCATATTTGTATACTCAGAAGCCTTTATACATCTGTGGATTGTCTTTATTATTCGTACCATTATTTCTTGTTTTTCACCTGACAGTATTTAGGTAATGCTGATTTACCTTCTCTCTGTTTTCGGAACTCCATATACATTTAAGACTAAATTTGGTGCACTATTCAAACAACTGTATATTTTCCAAAGAAATGTTGAAAATCACCTTTTTATACGCTCACGGAACTTTATTACCTTTATATAAGTCATCCATTTCCCTAGGTCTGTATTGTTGCACTAAACAATGTGATCAATGTTCAATTTCATCAATTCTGAAGAAGAAGAAAAATCGCCGTTGTATACCTTTCTTTTTTATTTGCAAAGGAAGGTAAACAACTGCACATGGAACATAAAAATTTGGTGCAATCGTCAAACAGCGGCGGATTTTTTAAAGAAATTCTGATAGACATGTTTGTAAACTTGCAGGACTTCTGCTGCCGTCGCTCTGTCTTTTGGGTTTCTGTTTTTACACTTACTGTGAATATTTAAAAGATGTGGCAACACAACTGCTTTAATGTGCTTGTGGTAGAGAAATCTGATGCAAATATCTGGAATCTTCCAAATATCAATTTTTTCATCATAAGGAGGCATCTTTGAAAAGTTAAATGGTTTCTTTTTGAAAGGCCAGTGTTGCTCTGGAGCGTTAAAAGGCACTGAGTAATTCCGACTTTCAACAGGACAAACCTTCCTTTTAGTAACACCATTGAGTATTTCAAGGTCGACAAGTGCATCAACATCACTTATCACGAGACGAAAATCGTCTGTCAGAAGATATTGCCATAAAACGATATGTATTGAGTTTCCATCGCAGTGAGCGTAAACTTTCCCACCTTGACCGGAATGAAAGATAGTCATGATCTGTACAAAGTCAATGCACAACTGAAATCTAGTACGAATGTTATCATAGTGTTTGTATTTCTCCATATGTTTCTCTAAGTTTGTAGCGTTTGCCATGGCATGAAATTCTGTTACAATTGTTTGATGACATTGTCCCACAAGTTGCAGAACCTCTGAATAATTAGAAAAGTCTTTCAGAATCTGCACTCCATGGTTGAACTCTCTGTGTGATCTTTTGCCGTAATGATACGTTCTCATTTTCTTCAGGACGACATCATATCCATTCCATTTACTGATTCGCACCTGTAAAACATACCAAAAGTGAGAAAAACTCTTTCGTTTTCTTCCTTCAGGCTATCATGTTTCATAAGATATGATAAGACAAAGCCTTGAAAATAGTGTAAGTTTAAAGCAAATGCTTTAATCAAATCCCTCTTCCAAGGCATACAATAATCGTAGTCAAGGTCTGTAATATGACATTTATCATTTTAAACGAAGAGGAAGTTCTAACAATTGACTGAGGCACCATTGTGTACCCACAGCTCACGTTCCACCCATTGACAGTGATGGCTTGTTGATGCAACCTGCTTTTATAGAATGTTGCACATTCCTTGTCAATATTTCATTAAGACATAATTTCAACTCTTTTGGTTGGTAAACTAATTCAAACATTTTATATTTAAATGGTATGCAATGATTAAGATTAAATAAAACTGAAAGTTGGCATGTAACCCAAGCAACTTTGCAAAACATCGGATAATGTTTCACTCTTTCAATTCTTATGACAATAAACCAGGGAAGGTCAATGAAGTATTTTCGGACTTTTTTATTTTCTTTTCTTTTTTTCAGTTTTTTATGTGTCGATTACAGAACGGAGCGACTCTTAGGAATCACATTTCCCACCGTCTGTCTGTATGTCTGTCCATCTGTCACACCTTATGTATCTTTAAAATTGTTAGAGGTAGGGATTAGATATTTTGCCTACATGTATGTATTCACTGAAGGAAAGCTTTTGTACAACATCAGGGTTATCGACCTCCTGACCTTTGAACTTGACTTTGACCCACTTTTCAAAATAGACATTAGTGCCGGTATATAGATATTCTTTGACCTTTTAGAGGTACGCCTGTGCCATTTTTTCAAGTGGACCATTTGAAATTCTAGTTCGTTATATTTGGAAATTATGAGTAAAAAAGTAAAAATTAGCGTAATAGAACTTTTGTTGCATTTTATAACACGAAAACTCCATTTCTAACACCTACGATATGTATCTGACATTTAAGCTACCATCTTACTTCTTTTACAAGGCCCATGGCAGCTGACGGTATTTTCTCGGCGCCCTCTATATTCTTTAGGTCCTCACAATCTAGCCATGGGTGACATGTCTCCATTCCGTAAAGTCCGAAATAACCGTATCCACACACTGGTTTACATTTTGTCTGATTATCTACCACACTCCAAATACATTTAAAACCAGGACTACTCGTTGTCATGTTATAGAACAGGGAATTATATGATTCAGGTGTACCGGTAAAAAGATACAGAATGAACGCGCCAAAAGCAATGCAGGTATAAAAAGTTCGACGAAACCAAACCAACATTGGGAAATTTACAGGGTCTGTAAACGAAAGAATATAATGTATATTACATGTTATCCACCCACTGTAAGTGAGACTAACTTTACAGTTAGAACATCTCACTCATTCTTAACTTAATAAAGCAACCAATGAACATTTTTCACAAATTCATTTCAGCGAAAAAATTGAAAAAATATTCAAACAGCAAGTATTGTGCCTATTTCAGAGGTAATAATATTTTATATAGCGCCTTTTGCGCTACTTCCCGTCCGCTAATTGAACTAAAAGATAAAATATTATAAAAAGAAATACATAAAAAAGCTTGACTCGAAATACGCGAATTCATGATTACACTAATCCATTGATGAGGAATTTAACGCTAAAATTTTGCGTGCACTAATTTAATGTGCGTTAAGAGAATATATTAACTTTAAAAGACAACCTTGTTGATATCGATGAAATCATCTCACAAAGAATATACAGTAATATAGATAAATCTAAAATTGCTTTTTTTGTTCTTGTTTTGTTTTGTTTCTTTTTTTGTTTTTTTGTTTTTTTTTTATTTTTTAAAATTATTTTTCAAAAGCATGTTTCAAATAGACTTAACAAAAACGATTGGGGAATAACAATGAATAATTCATTTACTATGCAAATATCTACACTGAAATCACTTTACTTACTATTTCCAAATGTGAAGTTCCCCATAATGTATAAATTGTGCAACAACTTTTATTCTATGATTTGCTAGCACACTTTCCTGCGTTACCCAATAAATAATTACAGAATGATGATTACAGATGTATGTCGATTTGCTTGCTACTACATTTACTTCTATATCCTATATCCTATTACTTCTGTTTAGGAGTGTTGTAGACGATGGGCCTATCTTAACCTTTCACCGACTTATATCTTTTTTTATTCTTTAAAAGAGTGCAAAGATGTAATTTGTCTATAAAAAATATATACATGTAGGTTTCCACAATCATATCAAAATATATGGCCAATTTTTCTTTATTTTACAGCAAATAATAAAATTTGCACTTTTCTACAATAGCGAGATATTTGCCACATACGTGACACTCTTATTCTGTGTATTTAATCGTTTAAATATTGTGAAAGCTTATGGTCTTTTTTATTCATAATGCCATTGATCTTTTTTCATTAAAATGTTGAGGTATTTGCCTTCGAGTGATAGATATTTAGTTTTAAAAGTAATTTTTGAAATCATCAGCTTCTTTTTCACTCCATGTTTAACAATCCAGTACAAGAAAGGTCTAAATTCCATTGGTGACCACACTGGAATCACTAGTATATATACTGTATATTAACCTAAATTCATTCTTCTTTTCTCTTTTTCTCGAGAAAATATCAAAAAATCCTGTCTCACAAGTGAAATGTATTCCATATTCACTACAAAACATTGAATTTTCTGTTTATTACATTTTCTTTGATTTCCCTTTGCCTCTGTCTTTTCTTAACTCAGTGTCATAGGCTGTGATGTCATAGTTGCATCGTTAAGGTGTCATAGCTTATTAGCAAATGTGATATTGAAAACATTGTAAAAGAATTTTAGCAACTCAGTTTGGGAAGAAATTGGCACTTTTAGTCTCTATCAAGATGGTTTAGTTACTACCTCTATCTTATGACAGGCTAGAAATTATTTTTTACTTACTTTGGTATCCTTTAACACTGTGTCATAATATCATTTTGGTATCCTTTAACACTTTGGTATCCTTTTACACTGTGACAAATATCACTTTGGTATTCTTTTACACTGGGAAGAATATCACTTTTATTAAATAAATAAATAAATCACAGTATTTCACTGTTGAAAATGTAACAAAAAAGAGTATTCCTTGCTCAATAATATTTATTTAAATGTTATTGGTGTCTAGCGGCAGTGTAGAATAATTTAATTATGGTTGTAATGAATCGTTTGATTGGCTGGCAAAAAATGGTTTAAACTGGTAATGCTATGTAAAAAGATGATTGACGTCGAAAAGGTTTCAATTCACTTAACGTTTGTAATTAAAATTTGTATAAAATGAAGTCATTTTTGAGGGGAAATTGTTTTCATTTTTACAGTATATGCTAGGAAATTAATTATAAAGATTAAATTTGATAGCTTTCCAGATAATACTTGGGTAGTAGATTTCACTTCTGGCGTTCCATATATTTAAAGATATTCAACATAATACAGTCTTATCAAGGGATAAATTCTGGCTATCGATGGTCACTTGTGAGTCAAGTATAAAAACCTTGCTATTACTCAACGACAAGGGCTTTATATAAATTCCACACGAATCAGATATTACATGAATTTTCAGTATTCCAGTATGTTTTTGTAATAATAAATTGTTGAAAACCTTTCATCAGTCCCCCTATCGGTGAAACCGGAGGAAACAAGGATTTCTTCCTCGTCTGTCCGTCCGTCTAGCTGTCTGTCCGTCCCACTCGGGTTTCTGCTCTGTTTCTAAACGCTTATAGATATTGAGCTGATTTATGGTGTGTGAGTGTACTTTGATGAGTTACATATTTTGCATTTTATTTTGTTTCAATGATTTTTAGTTGCCTTTTTTTTTAATTTTCAAGGGGAACCAGATTGCTCTTGCCGTTAGGGGACAAGTACTGCTTATTCAATACTCTCAGAATGCTTGTTTAAGGTAAGTTTACTTGGTCCAGAACACAGACTGATATATGTTAACGAACCTGGGTAACGTTAACATATTTTAAAATTGGGTTGGCTACTACACTTGTATAACCATGGTTGGAACAGTTTACGTTAGTTTAGTGCTTTTCCGGTAAAACCAGTTTGGACTAAAGATTTCCTCCTCGTCTATCAGTCCATCCGTCTCTTTGTCTGTCTGTCTGCCCCCCTTGGTTTTCCGCAATTTTTTTTCAAAATACTTTCAGATATTAATCTGAAATTTTGTTATATGAGTGTAATTTGAGTGTAATTTGATGTTAGAGGTCAAGTATGCATTTCTTCCCGTTTCTATGACTTTTGACGAAAGTACTTTTTATGTGGTTTATGGATACCAAGTCTTCCAACATTCTGTTGGAATTCCCATGGGTACCAATTGCGCCCCGTTATTAGCAGACCTATTCTTGTATTCATATGAAGCAGAATTTATTCAAAATCTTATGTATGAGAAAAAGAAACTCTTGTTATAGCCTTCAACTCGACATTTAGATATATCGACGACTTATTATCAATTAATAGTTATTTCCATTCATATGTCGACACGATATATCCCAGTGAGCTTGAAATAAAAGATACAACAGAGTCTGACACATCTGTTTCATACTTGGATATTTTACTAGAAAAAGACGTTAATGGTAATCTTACAACCAAGCTTTATGATAAACGTGATGACTTTAACTTTTCAATCGTCAACTTCCCTTACTTATGCAGCAATATACCCTTATCACCTGCATACGGGATTTATATCTCTCAGTTGATCGATACTCAAGAGCGTGCTGTACCTATAAACAATTTCTAAAATGAGGTAAGTTTTTGACAAAATTATTGATGGAAAAGAATATCAAGAGTCTCGTTTAAAGTCATGATTTCTTAAGTTCTATGGTCGATACAATGACCTTGTCTGCAAATGCAATCAAATGCCGATTGGCGTTTTGCATACTAATTGTTAGGCCATTATTTACTTACTGTGTTGTTGACGGATTTTCCCGTTATTTCCCAACCATGACAAGGAGCACACGACGGGTATGAAAGGTCGGCAGGGGATATTCAACCCTCCATGGCACCTGATCCCACCTCTGATGTTTTAGAGGTCCGTGTTTGCTCTGCTCCTGATTTTTATTGTTTGGATGGACTTTTGAGCTAGAATACTGTTCGTTATCTTCATATATTTTCTGTTTAATTTTTAAGAGGAAGCAGATTAAACCTGCCGATAGGGGACTAGCTTATGAAATAGTGTCAGAATGCTTGTCATATAGTGTAAATGAAAAAGGTGAAGATAACGAACACCGATCGATCTAAAAAAAAAATCTACAGACAATATAAATCTGTGGAGAGAGCAAAAAACACGGACCTTCGGAAATTCCAGAGGTGGGATGAGGTGCCTAGGAGGAGTAAACATCCCCTATGACCGGGCACACCAGCCGTGAGAAGTAAGGTATTGATCAGTTAAATGGAACAGCCCGTAGTCAAATAAAGGAGGTTGGGTCTTGCTTTCAAAAGTCTTTTTAATGCGCTTTTTTTTGGAGCTTCTGTACATCTGACCTTTTTGCACTGAAATGGTGTCTTAAACATAAATCACTTCTTCGAAGTTTTTCCTCCAATATTTTTTATCCAAATAAATCAATGGGACCAAAAATACCTTAATCTATCTTGAAAAGACACATTTAAACTTGTGACAAAGAAAAAATTTCAAATTACTTCGCATAATCATTTATTTGACCTTTTGCACTCACAAAATTTTTCTGACGTAAAGAATTGAACAAGCAAATTTTTTTTAAGTCTTAAAAATTTGCTGAATTTAAACAAAATGATCAAAGTTGTCTTATATATTCAGAAAAAGAAAATCAAAAGTGGGTTTCTATATTGTCATTTTTTTTTTTTTTTAGATTTTACTGAAAATGTGTTAATCTTACGTTGAAATTGGACGTATTTTTCCTGGATTTTCAAAATATATTTGCTATATTTATCACAACATGATGAAAGAATTCATAAAAGTTAATTTAATAAATATTTCAGGACCAGCATAAAACATTTCACCTCCCAAAATACCTTTGTGTTCAGCCTGCATAAAAAAATAGGAATCCAAACTTAACAGTACTGTAAATACCTTGAAAGAGAAAAAAATGATCATTTTCTTCTCAAAAATAAAACCTCCCGCCACAATATATAGTCCCTCACTTAATGCCTTTTGAATGGAATTTAATCATAAGATATTACTTGACTTAATTGCATTGTTAATCGATGAGTCGTCGACAATATATCTGACTGTCGAGTTGAAGGCCACAGCAAGTATTTTCTCCTTCTCATGTAGAAGTTTTTTGAAAAAATCTGCTTAAAAAACAAGCTATAACAAGCATTCTGAGAGTATTGCATTAGCAATACTAGTCCCCTACCGGCAAGTGTAATCTGGTTCCCGTTAAGAATTGAAAATGTCATAATTCTGTCAAAAATTAATGAAGCGGGACGAAATGCAAACTTGATCTATAACTAATCAAGGTAAAGCTACATACCAAAAATCAGTTCAATATCTACAAGCGTTTAGAAGAAAATTGCGGAAAACCCGTAAAAATTGAAAAGGCCGTAATTCCGTCAACAATCAATGAAGCGGAACGACATGCAAACTTGATCTGTAACTCATCAAGATACATTCACATACCAAAAATCAGCTCAATATCTGCAAGCGTTTAGGAAAAAAGTGCGGAAAACCAATTGGGACAGACTGACAGAGGGACAGACAGACAGACGGACGGACAGACTCAGAGGAAACCTATAGTCCCCTCCGGTTTCACCGGTAGGGGACTAATGAAGGAGCATAATTAGTGCCCATCGGCATTCTAACAGTTTGTGGGAAGACCTGGTCTCCGAAAGCTACATAAATGTTGACAAGGAGGAAGTTCAGCATTTTTGATATCAACTTCAGTTTACTTTTTTATAGAATCAGAATGATTTTTAACAAAGTTATTTTTGATGACCAATCACAAGATCACATAAGGAGTTCCATTTTTATTGAAGAAGCAATTGTCTATGATATAAAAAACCTAGTTTTTAATTTATCGTGAAGAATGGCTGTATAAAGTGTAGAAAAAGTTATATATTTTAATGTTATTGACTACAGAAAATTTGGGTGATTTTAACTTTTATAAAAGCTAAACCCTGCAATGTGTCTTTGTTTGTAATGATTTTTATGAAGTTGAAGAATCCAGTTTAGGTATAGGGTAGATCGAACTCACCTTGGTTGACTGATATTAAACCGTGAAATGTGATTTTGAAGAATTTCAACCTTAGAAAGTGTTCTGTGTCTATAATTTGGATTTAGAATTCAAACGAAGTTCTAATTATAACACGCATTCTGAAAGTATTGCATTAGCAATACTAGTCCCCTACCGGCAAGTGTCATATGGTTCCCGTTAAGAATTGAAAACGCCATAATTCCGTCAAATTCCGTCAAAAATTAATGAAGCGGGACGAAATGCAAACTTGATCTATAACTAATCAAGGTAAAGCCACATACCAAAAATCAGCTCAATATCTACAAGCGTTTAGAAGAAAATTGCGGAAAACCCGTAAAAATTGAAAAGGCCGTAATTCCGTCAAAAATCAATGAAGCGGAACGAAATGCAAACTTGATCTGTAACTCAACAAGATACACTCACATACAAAAAATCAGCTCAATATCTGCAAGCATTTAAGAAAAAAGTGCGGAAAACCAATTGGGACAGACTGACAGACAGACAGAGGGACAGACAGACAGACAGACAGACAGACAGACAGACGGACAGACAGACAGACAGACAGACGGACGGACAGACGGACGGACAGACTCAGAGGAAACCTATAGTCCCCTCCGGTTTCACCGGTAGGGGACTAACAAGCATTCTGAGAGTATTGCATTAGCAATACTAGTCCCCTACCGGCAAGTGTAATCTGGTTCCGTCCCCGTTAAGAATTGAAAATGCCATAATTCCGTCAAAAATTAATGAAGCGGGACGAAATGCAAACTTGATCTATAACTAATCAAGGTAAAGCTACATACCAAAAATCAGCTCAATATCTACAAGCGTTTAGAAGAAAATTGCGGAAAACCCGTAAAAATTGAAAAGGCCGTAATTCCTTCAAAAATCAATGAAGCGGAACGAGATGCAAACTCGATCTGTAACTCATCAAGATACACTCACATACCAAAAATCAGCTCAATATCTGCAAGCGTTTAGGAAAAAAGTGTGGAAAACCAATTGGGACAGACTGACAGACAGACAGAGGGACAGACAGACAGACGGACGGACAGACTCAGAGGAAACCTATAGTCCCCTCCGGTTTCACCGGTAGGGACTAATAAGGAGCCTAAAAAAACAAAGACGATATATTTACAAGCTTTGTCTACCAGAGTTCTCTGAACCAGGTTTTCATAAGCAAAAAAAATTTTGGCCTCGAGGGTGAAATTGAAAATTCTGAAACCCACACGAGAGGACAACCTGACAGGTGTATTCTATGAGATGAATTGACAGCTGCTTAAAAACATAGAGGGGTTTTAGAGAGATATTTTGAAGAAAGCGTTGTTTTCAACCCCAATTTAAATAATGTTAATATTGTGCGATCGACACAAATCCGCTTGATTATATTCCTTTTCTTTAGAATTTATCTTTTACCTGTATATTAAGTGGGAAATACTAGTAAACAAATATACGGGGATTTAGAAATGTTTTGGTTATAAATGCAATATGCGCATATAGAATACATTAATTATAATATGTATGTATAATGGCCTACATCACCCTAATGACTTTTTACCTTGCAGGTATGTTAATAGGCATCCTTCTTGTGCTAATATAGATAGGGAAAAAGAAATATTTCTATAGTGGACTTAATCATCAATTCATATTTTCATTATTAATGATCGCATGTTTATTGGCGGTACAATATTGACCAGATGTGCCAATGGCAATAAGACACGAGTCAACCACTGAGAGCTTAGATTCATAAATTACAAATACATTGAACTTCACTATATCAAAACAGCATCGTCAATTATATCAATGATCTTGATACACAACAAACTTGCGTGTTAGAGCAGCATTTATATAGCATGATTTTGCCTATAGTATCTCGGAAAGCAAATACGGAAAATAATGGATTAACTCCTTCACTGGCCATAAATTTTACTAAAGCACTGTTTACATTCGCCAAGAAAGTACTAGTATATTATATATTCTGTCATTTACGTAGTTAGATTTATTCGTGCATGTCTCTCGGGACTGGCCTTTACCACAATTCGAAAACATTCCATGTAGAGGACTGAAAAATTCCACATAACATATATATACCTACTGAAAAAGGTCATAACGAACAGTAATCGATCTGAAAAAAAAAAATCTACTTGTAAACAATACAAATCCATGACGTAGCACAAAACACGGACCCCTGGAAATTCCAGAGGTGAGATCAGGTACCTAAGAGGAGTAAGCATCCCCTATTGACCGCGGTCACACCTATATATTGATCTGGTAAACGGAATATTTAGCATAAAAACAAAGGCCTAACAATTGGTATGAAACACGTTGGCCAAAATACAAAAAAAGTTATTTCCATTAGCCTTCTTGAATATTAATGATAGAAACCTCTTGAATTAATCCGATACAAAACTGAGTAAAATGTGAATGATTTCTTTATAATGTTAATAATAGACTAGCAAATTAGGAAGCTGTTCTTTTTTTGAAATGAAATAATATAAATACTTTTTTATGTACAAATCTGTTTGAAATAACAAAAAACAGTTTTCATATTTAAATTTCATAAAAAAAAGCACTCTGTGAGTATTGCAAACGCAATTCTGAATCCCCTAAAATATTGACATTACATGTTATTCCACCAAACGTCATAAAAACAGAACAGAATTGTGTTATTAAAAGCATGCATATATTATAATGTCTTGTACAAGATTAATTCAGGCATTAATTCGAATTCCGAACAATTTTTGGTATATATCTTCATAGATCTTTAGAACTTCCTTTGCATTAGGTCGATTTTTAGGATCCTTGCTTTTGCACTGCTGGTGTATAAGGTTTAAGTGTGGCAGAACCTTTACTTTAACATCCATGTGATAAAGAAAACTTTTACAAGCATCAGGAATTTTCCAGATGTCGATTTTCTCATCATAAGGTGACATCTTTGAATTGTTAAATGGTTTTTCTTCAATAGGTCTCCACCTTTGTTCTGGGGCATTAAACAACACCGAGTAATTCCGAGTTTTGACTGGACACAGTCTTTTCTCTGTAACACCATCATTTACTGGAAAACCGACAAGAGAATCAATATCGTTGATGATGAGTCGAAAATCGTCTGTCAAAAGGTATTGTTGTAAAAGAATATACTTGTCATTAGCATCACAGAGAGCGTAAACTTTCCCGCCTCGACCAGAATGAAGCATAGTGAGAATATGTACATAATCCACACAGAGGCGGAATCTAGTGGAAGCATTATCAAAGTCTTTATAAATCTTCAGATGGTTCTCCAAGTTGGTAGCGTCGTTGAGGGCATGTAACTCTGTCACCAGTGTGTCTTTGCATTGACCTACAAGTTGTAAAACCTCTGGTAGATCTGAAAAGTCCCTCAGGAATTGTATACCTCGATAAAATTCGTCCTTTGATTCTGGACCATGGAGATCTGTCCTCAGCCTCTTAACAGCTACTTCATAATCTTCCCATTTACTGATCCATACCTGGAAGATGTAGTCCAAATCATGATTACTTCTTATAAAATATATTTCTCTTAGAATTCCAACAAAAAATATGCAATAAATTTATGCCAAAATTCACGTAGTATATCGACCCCCCTTACCAAATTGCCAAGTTTCACTCATAAATAAACTACTTTTTGCAAAATGTAATTAATGTGTAATACTCCAAAAAAAAAAAAAAACTGTGCTATTCTATTTAAGTTACTTCATTCTTTGTTGACCTTGAAGCTGAATGTAAAAATGATAAATGTTATAATCCCAAAAGTATGCTATTACATTTTGCGATATTATATTCTGCGTTGATTTCGACGTAAAATGTTATAACGCATTTATAATGTCATAATCTCAGTTTTGCGTCGTTATTTCATTTTGCTAAGTACTTATGCAAAATGATTTTGTTGTACTTAATCATCTTTAAGAATTGTATCATTTCTAAAATACTACGTTATTACCAACCAACAAAATGGCAAAATAAGTACACTACTGAAATTAGTTACCCTAAAATTAGAATTCCATTTAGTCATGCAATAGAAACAACAAGGATAAACCTCCGATACAAAAATAAAATGGGATGCTGTTTTAAAGTTTTTGTTAATATCTTACGCCATACAAAGTTCCTTGGATATGTATGGCATCTGGCGTGTGAAGACATATTAAAAACTAACAATTAAATATTTACATGTAGGTATGTAAGAAAACTGTTGATAAATATTTGAAAAAGAAGAGCATTTCTGAAACTAAATATAATAAATTTAATACTGGCATTTTTTTTTAACAGTAGTTCGGCATTTCCCAAATAAAGAATTAAAATCTTACTTCCTTCACATAACCTATAACACTTGTATTTATTTTCTCATGTCCTTTTATGTTCTTAAGTCCTTCACAATCAAGCCATGGGTGACACGTCTCCATTCCGTAAAGTCCGAAATATCCGTACCCACACACTGGTTTACACTTTGTACGATTGTCTACTACACTCCAAATACATTTGAAATCCACCCCACGGTCTCTCGCAACGGTTTTGTAAATAGCAGTGATTGGTGATTTGTATGTGCTTTCAAACAGGTACGGATTAAACCCCAACAAAACCATGGAAACAAACAGGATTCCATAGAGCCAAAACCAGAACTGGATTTTCAGAGAAACTGTTAAAACAAAACAAAGAAAAGCAAAAAAAAAAGGTGTACTAAAATAAACAAAAACAAAGAAATACATATAAATAATTTACAAAACAAAATTATATCCCACCCCAAAAGTGCGAAAAACAAAAACGATTTTTGCCTTTAAAAAATCAAACACCAATATAGGACAAAAATTTCATTTTTTCTTTATTTCAAATGAGATTTGTCTTTCTTGTTGAAAGACGATGAAAACGTGGACTTTAAATGGTATTCGTATTCTGTAATATTCGAAGGAAAAAAAAGATTTTTAATGCACACAAAATATAAGTATAATTAAATAAATCCAAAGCTTCCAAAGATGTCGACCTATTGAATAGTTTAAAAAATATGCAAATCAACAGCTGATATTTTACTCCGGCTATAAAATACATTGCAGAAAACACATGTAGATTATTAATAATTTATAATTAATAATTTAAACTTTCAGAATGTGTGAAAACACAACACTCGTCCATTACTATTCATATTTTTTCCAGTACTTACTTTTTCTGAACGTAAAACGTTTCATTTTTACCAATACGTAAAATGATGATATGTTTGTTTTCGTCTTTAATAATTGTATTAATTTGCGTTATATTGTATATATAATTCGATATTCATATATACTATAGTAAATACATACCCCAGTACACGAGTTCGGTGTACTATACGTGTTGTCAACGTCTTCATTAACATATAAAATTAATTATCTCGTGGGAGATAAATGGCCTACGTTAGTACTAAAACGTATTAATTTCCTTCGACCTCCCTTTACGACTCGGAAAGAATGCAAACTGATTGATTTCGGTCGACTTCTCTATTTTCAGGAACCATGACAAAGAAAACCTTAAACTTCATTATTCCCCCAGTCTATGAATGTAAAATTTTGCTTTAACGCGCCTATGATTTTCAAAACAAAATGTAAAATGAAAACAATTTCAGCATACCTTGCAGGGATTAATTTGACATAAATGTCCTTTAATTTCAACGTAACATTTTTATTTAGAAGTAATCGTCATTTTTATCCCAGTAAGAGTTACCTCTCTTATCGGAGAGTCAGTGAACCTTAATCTACGGAATCTTGCCCTTACGACAAGAAACAATTGTTCAAGATAGGTAGTACCGATACTGTGACGTCGGAGTGCCTTAAAGTGAGATCCATTTTGTGTACTAAGACTGTCCATTCTGTGCAGACATTTGTATAGGCTCTTTTGGTGAGGTCGACTTTTCATGAAATCGAATAAATTTATTATTCATGGACAGTAGTTTAAATAATTAAATCTAACGCAGTTATACATATGTATATTCATACCAGAAAATTTGTAAAGAATGTTGGAAAGGCATTTAATTTTGCAATAAAGACTTGCAGTTATGTTTACAAATGAAATATATATTTTACTATTATTATTTTAACATCCAAAGTAAATAATGTGAATACTATAGTGATTACACATTGTAAATGTATGTACTTAATCTTGGTAAAAATTATCCGGGGCTTCCTTATTCATTGGCTATTCCTATTGCAATTAAAACTGCAATATGGCTCCATACATCTGATATATCGGTATGCTAAAATGTTCAGTTCAGTTTAGTTTACATACATTTAAGTCAAGAAACATACATCTCATAGACAATATTTACAATCATACATTTTAGTACATATGATGATGAGATTAACATCCAACATGTATAATATATAATATAATGATATCTACAATCATATAATACATATAATGGTGAAATTAACATCCAACAGGTACAATATATCTAGAATATAATGATATTTCAGTAATTTATCAATTAGTTAAAGACACTATTCTTTTTGCACTCGCTATAATTGCAAACATTTTCCTAGATTACATAATTCTTTTCACATTCTGTGGACTAAGTAATTGTACCAATTTGAAGACACTTGGTCTTCGGGAGTAGTTATTTTTTAATGTATTTTTATTTTAATGTATTATAACGTGGACATTTTAACACAAAATGGAATTCATCTTCTATATCCCCTGATTGGCAAAGATGACATGTTCTATTATTTCTCACGATTTTGTTATATCTTCCTTGTTCAATCATTAAGTTATGAGCAGATAGTCTTATTCTGGTAATTGGTACTCTATATTTTAAATGTATTGGTTTACATAAGTAAGACTGAAGGGTAAAATTATCAACAAGGTGTTGATAAATGGGGTATTTTGGTATAACATGTATACATGCACTAGTGCATCTATTTTAGCTATCTCTCCTCTTTTCAAACTCATTATTACTGTATAATGCTAACTAGTCGGGACTTTTGATAGGGGGCTCAACAAACAACAATTCATTTAACACATTGTGGGCTATCCCCCCAACAAATGAGACTCTTACAAGCACCTGCAAAGTATGGCTTCTTTTATGAAGAAATTAGCCGATAAACATAGAAATCTTATATACAGGCTATAATCAAAGTCCCTTCATAAGCGAAACTACTTGTACCTCATAAACTGGTCTGTGAAGAAAGGCTCACTTGGCACAACTGCCAATTACCAAAGATGTTTCGTTTCGTCTCCTCATTGCCATGTATAGAAAAATGATTAGAGCACGGAATGTCCTTATTTAGTCTAATTTTGCTGTTTTTCCACAAGATCCTCGGAGTAAATCGCGGCGTGTATCGATTGTCGACAATTTTCCCCAACACAACGGATATTTGCATGTAATGAACATGCTACAATCACAGATAGCACATTGGTTCAACACGTGCTGTGATTCTGGTTTTTGGTGACTTTTTTCAAGGAGGAAATAAATTCCGTTAATATCCGTGCAGAATTAATACAGCCTCATCAAAGGACAAGAAGATGACTCTAGATTGGTTGCTGATTGGTCAAAGTCTCGTCTTTTTCTGAACTTTAGGAAAAGAATTCTTTCCTTTTTATCTTTAACTAATCTCGCCAATAAGTGATAAAATGACTGTTTTTATTTTAGTGCTGGAAATTCCAAAATAAGGCGTAAAAATGATGTTACGAAACATCACAGCGCATCTGTAATGTTGTTTTGCTGAGTGTGTGCTTTCTTAATACAAATATCAATGTGCAAATTTAAATTATGTGCTTATTTAAATGAAATATGATTCCCATAGCTCTCAAGGATAAAATGAATTATAATGGAATTGAAATTATATATTAGAAAATAGAATTTATTCGTCATTTTATTCACTGTTTATTCCACAACCCCGGCCTAAAGAGATCTCAGTCTGTCCAGAGACATCCCTCTATTATATGTCTCTGGTCTGTCTTTACCACATTAAAAACTTTATTATAAGTGCGATCATTTTTGGATACCGATCCCGATGTATTTTCATAGTATTTATTTTGTGTGGTAACTGTATGTATTCAAAGTACAGTGTTATACACTCATCAACATGTAATGTATATGCTAGTTATCGAAACTCCGCCTCTCAAAATTCAGAAGACAGTTTTTAAATAACTGTTCGAAGTATCTTTGCAAATGAGGTCAAAGGTCAAGGTCAGGTGGACTGTCACGCTGGTAATTTCTAATAAAAACTTATGACAAACGAATAGCACAGACTAACCTTAAATGTCAAAAATAAGCTGTATATCGGCTCTATATACTATTTTGAAAAATACGTCAAAGGTCGAGTTCAAAGGTCAAGAGGTCGGTAATCATTGTATTTTACAAAAGCCATTGGACAAAGCAATACATGTGCAAAATATCAAATCCATACGTCGTACAGTTTTCGAGATATAAGGTGTGACGGACGGATGGACGGACGGACAGACAGACAGACAGACAGACCTCGGGTAAAGTGATCCCTAAGTGTCGCTCTGCTCTGTAATACCTTATTACAAAAATTCAATAAAACGCGGTATCTGCTTGGTCTATAGAGACTCAGGTGACTGAAAGAAGAAAACGTAGTATCCTATTTACTGAACAAAAATGGCTTTAAGAGCACTTAAAAAGTACAAAACTTGCGAAAAGGAGATTCAAACTTAAGACTTTTTTCCAATTGAAAGTGGGCCCGAATTTTAAAGTTTGAGTTTATTTTTAAAAGTTATGATTACTTGGATGAATAAATCTTCATATTTCCCTCCTGATCAGGCAATACATGTAAATTGTTTATGATGATAATACCGAATACTGAATCAAGAAGCAGGTCTTTATTGCGAAATGTTGATAAAGAGTTCTTTTTAAGTGTTAAGATTCTACTCTTCTTAAATAAAAATACATGGCATGCATTTTTTCTACTTCTAACGATGATTCCGAAAGATCAATGCAATGCTCAAATTTTTTTTTAACCTTGTGGGAAATCTGAGATTTTAAGGTACAAATGATATAATTATCTGTTGTTAAGACAAGTTACCCTAGATCAGTAGCATCGTTTACAAAAAAGTACTGAAGCAAATGTCGATAGGAAAAGGCAGGTCTTTATTGCGAAATGTTACTAAAGACATGGTAGTTCAGCTAGTAGGAACGCTGGATATGAAACATGATATGTAGTATGAAAGGGGAGGACTCCTCCCTTTTATAGTCTTGATGTTTATTTATATATAAATATTTACATTCAACATGTATTTTGCTTATAAAGTGTCAGAAAAGCTACGGCATTCAAAACAGAATATTTACATTTGAAAATGTTTTCCCTTATATAACACTATTGAAAGCAACGCGTATCTATATCCGTATAAACACGGGTTCCTCGCGTCATAAACGTTCGACGTAATTTCTCAGTGATGTCATAAAGGGTCGACGCGCAAACAATGGATCAAATACATGCCGTTGAGTTTGAAAAATAAAACATTTCACGCGTTAAAGATTATAATCAGGAAAATATAAAATATGAATAAGTCATAAATGTAAATATAAGTAATAATGTATCATTTTTAAACATCTATCGGATATAAATACGGGTTGGTACGAGATCAAATTTACCATAAAGCCCTTCGGGCTTTATGGAATTTGATCTCGTGACCAACCCGTATTTATATCCCGATAGATGTTTAAAAATGATACATTATTTCTTAAATAACACAGACAGGGGGTCAAAAGGTTAAAGTATGCGTTTTATTTTGACGTCACAAACGTTGAACACCCTGGAAGCGCAACGTCATAAGCGAAAATCAAAATTTGCGCTCACATTGAACAGAAACTGTTGCAACGGCTCTTCCATTAATTATAACTTACCCGAAGGATAATACAGGGGTTTTGAAATATAAATCACATTTGCAGTGAAGGCAAGAAGTTAAAAAAATGTAAATATAAGCATTGAATCATTATTTTTTTAAAAAGATATAGTCTAATAACTGCAACGGTGTGTGCAAACAAATTTTTATAACGCGCTAAAAAATAATCATGATTCAATGCTTAAATGGCTGTAATGCACGTTCTCCAGAAAAAGGGATAATTCATAGCGATAAGACAATGGTTTTCAACTTGTTTGACAGGACTAGTGTATTGAATGGTTCAATAACATATATGATTATATTCCCAGGTCGGTTATACGGTTTTATGAAAATGGATTGATGGAGGAGGATC